TATTATATGAAGAACAAGATTACGTAAAATTGTTATTTTTCTTATATCAAGGAATAAATATATATAATGAAATCAAATTTATATTATTATAAACATGCAGTGACGGATCTAGGAATTTTACTTAGGGGGGCCTGATTTTAAATGTTGTAACGAACTTTTAATTTAAGTCGAAACGCTCATTCTATATAAAAATATATTTACTATAAATTTAATTATCGATATGTGTACCATCAAGTTTTTAAAAATTTATAATCCGTATCACCCTCAATCTTTTGAAAAAATAAACAAAAAAATTAGATTGCATGTATTTTTAATTTAAGAAGAAAAAACAAGAAACTTTTACAAAACACTGTGTTTATCAAATGAACAATTTTTAAGAAAAACAAAAAATAAATAAAAAAACTTTTGCAGAATTGCACATACTTTTGTTGATGAGAACTTATCAAATAAATATTTTTTAAGATAAAATAAATAAATTTAAAAATATGTGATTACTCACACCCACAAAAGTAAAAAATCAACATTAAAAAATGTAATGATCTAACTAAATACTGTTTATAAGTCATTAAATCGATTTATGATTAAAAGATCAAAAGAATAAATCATTATAAATATTTTCAAAAATTTATCTAAAAATATAAAATATAAGTATTGTTAGTACATTTTTATAAATAAATTATATTATAGATTTAAATTAAAATAACATATATTATAAATATTTTTTACATTTCTATACATATTTATAGTATTTTATTTTATAATATATATATATATATATATTAAATTTTTCAAAAAAATCAGGGAGGCCCACGGGCCCCTGGCCCTCATACAAATCCGTCTTTGTAAACATGTGAGCTAGATAATATATTAATTAATTTACGTGATAGCGCTACCAGACTCATGTTTAATGTCTCAACAAAAAAATGAAGTTGATGAAAAGATGTAAAAAAAAAATAGATGATCAAATTCTATCATTTTTTAGGCTTGAACGGATAAGCCCTATGGTCCACTCATATAATATCTCTCGTGAATCGCACGAGCTACTTAACAGACAAGCATTGTGAAAATGACTCATTTAATATTTTTGTCTCGTGCATCGCACGAGCTACGTACTAGTTGTCTTAAATAATATAATAAAAATTATATAGTAAAATATCTTTTGTAATGTACTATGTGCACGAATATTAATGCTAGTTCAAATAATACATAAATACTTTTTATATTTATAATGTAATCTCTATCATATAATAACTAGTATTTTCTTCAAATAAAATATAACTAGTACTAATACCCATGTACAACATAGGTATTGAGTTAATGAATATATGTGTAAAGTTATTTATGTGTAATACCAAACCGAACTCTAGAGTAAAAATAATATAAAAACAAAATCACGAAGCATAGATTTTCGTCATGTCAATATCCGAAACGTGAGAATTTGTCACCTAGATTCAACACGTTTGTTTTGAATTAATATATAGGTAGGGATAGAAACATAATATCCAACAGCATGAATAGCTATCGAATATTTTACATCGTCATAATTTATTTAACAAGATCAAAACACATCGAAATTTCTAAACTTTTTTTATCTATTTATTATATATCGAATATATACATGTAATACAATTATTATGATGAAATTTTAAATATATTATTTTAAAAATAATATTAAAAGTCGCATGGACCTCGTCACCTTCTCGCTTTTACTTGCTTCTTTTCTCTCTCTAGAAATCCTCTATTTTCTCTCTCTCTAAGGTTTTTCACCACTGAACCCAAAGAAGCAACTGCAGTCGTCATCCAACAATGGTTGACAAATCGAAGAAGCGAAAGAAGGTGACCATATCTGAAGATAACATGTCCACCCTCTTACGGAGGTAAGAATTTCGTCTCGTGATCTTAATTTTTTGGAAGAAAAATAGTCCTTTCTTCTCGTTTTAGCGTTTTAATTCTGGATTTTTTTTTTATTTTTTTTTCCCTCAGGTACTCCGTGAGCACGGTGCTCGCGTTGCTGCAAGAAGTTTCTCAGGCGGCCGGAGAGAAGATCAATTGGGCTGAAATGGTTAAGAACACAACCACCGGAATTTGCAGTGCGAGGGAGTACCAAATGCTGTGGCGCCATCTCGCCTACGGCGAAACCCTAGATCAAATTGAGCCTGACTCAAATCTTATGGTTGGCTGATAGATTTAATCCTGTCCGTGCGTATATGTATTTTGAATCCTGCTTTGTATGAATTTTGACGATTTTATGATCTTGTTGTTTTAATTTTTTATTTTCCCCACCCGCCATCGTGTGCCTTTCATCCATGATTTGGTAATCAATGTGTGATTCCCTGTTATCTCCATTTACTTGTTGAACTCATTATAGCCAGCATTTTATTATATGACTTTTGCAGAAAGTCATTACATTTTATTGAAGTTAAGTTTTGATTGATGGGTTGGTTGCTTGGTTTTATGATTGGGAACTTCTCGATGCTCTGGTTGTAGGACGATGATAGTGATTTGGAATACGAGCTGGAAGCTTTTCCTGCTGCAGGACGTGAAGCTTCAGTGGAGGCTGCAGCATGTGTTAAAGTATGTGTATAAGATATACCTGTGAATAAAATAGCGAGAGTATTATCCGCAAGCCTGTATTTGAAGAATATGGTTACAGACATTTCTGTCATGATACCTTTTTTTTTTTTTGGTTTGCTGAGATTTGATTTTTTCTTGATTTTCCGTATGTTCGACCATTATTATAATGCTTTTGCTTTTGGGAGTAGGGAGATCTTTCTAAGTAGTCACTTTATCTAATTTTAACACGATCATTGTAATACCTCTCCATAGTTATCTAGGATCATTTGCTTTAGCTTCTTCTTCGCCACTTTGTAAAGTTGAAAGGCAATAGTCTAATTATTTTAGAATACCGCATGTGATGGTTAATCCCTATGCCTTTCTAGCTATCATAATTCCAATATGTACAAGTTATGTGGATGTTGTATGTGCACTGATTTTTTGTAGAATCTTTGGGAGTTTATTCGTTGACAAATTCTTGCCATCATAGTTATAAACTACTGGAATTCATATGTATCAGTAATCGGATTAATATGAGTATGAAGCGTTTTAATAAATATGTAAGTAATTCTATTCATGTGCACGTTAACTCATGATGCATTGTACAAAAGAATGTGTGCACAATGGAATAGTTTACTTTCCTATTTATGTCTTTTCCATTAATTAATGCTTTGAAACAATCAAGTAAATTTTATTGTATGTGCAATAATTTTGCAGAGGTTGTCATCCACAGTTATTTAATTTTAATATATAATCCTTTTGTAATATTTAAATGTGTTCGGTCTTGAGATTAATACTATCCATTTGTGGTTTTAACATGTTAGTCGTATAGAATCTCTAGTTGTACAACTGTAATCAATTTCTAATTATTGTTTATTTGCAGCATCTGTTTGCTTGGAGACTAATTGTTATAGTTTTATAACTCAAGCATCTAGTGTTTCTTATTATTTGCTTTGATCTGCTTACCTATTTCCATGTCGCTAATGATCGATGCCTTTATGTTTGTTATATCTTTTTTTTTTCAGGTTTTAATTGCTTCTGGATGCACAAATGATTCGAATCTTTCAAACAACTCAACCGTATCAACAATTGAGGGACCATTGACCATTAATATACCAAATAGCAAAGCTTTGTCCGTGCCTTCAGATAGTTCACTTTTTGTCAGTGGTAGGCAGGGGACAAACATTACGATCCCTGTTTCTTTACAAAAGGTGCCATCATCTTCAGGGTTATCTGGTGAAAAAAGGCCTGTCACTGAGTCATCAGGAGTTAATTTACCTCGAAGGAAAAGAAGGGGTTGGTCTGTGGAAGAGGATCAGAAACTCACAGCTGCTGTGAAAAACATTGTAGAACCAAATTGGGCTCTTATTGCGAGCAAGGATTTCAACAACGACAGAAAACCATCAGAGTTATCTCAGGTTCTTTATTGATAACCTCAATCCTGTTGTATTTAACATTCATACGAAGTTCCTGCTTTGATAGAATTTCTTATGATCCATGAATTGAACTACGAATTTTGTCATTTTTCTTTTTTCGTTTGGATACGGGTAAGAGATTGCTCTTTCTGCTCTTACTAGTTTTTGATTACATTATACCTCTGTAGGCTTAGACAGATGATTTGGTTGTGTTTTGATTCGGGGAAGTGTATATCATTATTTATTTTTTACGTTGGTTAGGTTTCCTGATTATGCTGTCATTAGCTGATGGATCACTCGTATTTCTAATCTTTTTTGTCTGTTTTGATTGTGCATGTGTGCTTGGAGTATGAGGGTGGGTTTTACCTTGATGGAGCTCATACTTTTTTATGTAACCTAAAACAATAAATTCGAACAATAAATCTGTGCCATCAGGCATTGTTAAAGCTCATTATTTGGTGTCATGGTAGATAATAAGTTACCACAATGGAAATTGCTGGAGATCTCTGTTGTTTGAATAATGTACCATGTGATTCTTTATTGTTCTCATGCTTGGCCACAAAGTTATTGCTGATTTTAGTGGATGATATTGCATGCACAGAGGTGGGCCAATCTCAAGAAAAAGCAGGCTAACCTAAAATCGGGAACCACTTCACTCGTTCCTGAAACTCAACTGGCTGCTGCACATCGAGCCATGTCCCTAGCACTAGATATGCCAATGGGTGACAATTTGAAAGCAACTTCAGGTTATATTCTCTATAATTTCTAATCATTGTTGTAGTTATTGCTTGAGCGGACTGCAGAAAAACACTTCTTATAGCGGTACTGATATTTGAACATCTTATGTCTTACATAGGATATCGACCAGAAGTTGGTTGTGGCTGTGTTCAAAATATACTGCCATTCTGATTAATATGATATGATATGATGACTGGCTAATTTTGAAGTTACCTTTTCTTTTCTTTTCCATTTTTCCATTAACTTTTCTGATGAATATACATCTTATTTAAAATTAAGGTTCCCTGTCATATACTGTCTATTTTTTCTGTTAATTACGGTTACGATTGGATATAGACTTTTTTTCCAAAAATTTTTCCTCCGGCTGAAAATAGAGAAGAAATGATGGATTATTTTATTTTATTTTATTTTCTTATAAATTTCGATATTTTTTAGATTGTGAATGGGTATATGATAACAAGGTTGTAATGATTAGAGTCGATGCGATATAAAAATAATAAAATATTGATTGGTATTGATTAGTAGTTAGAAATATGTGAGTAGACGAATAGTGTTTTTTGTTGGAAAATATGTAATAAATCGACTTTTATTTTTAATTGTGTTAGTGGGATTGTGAGAAAAAAGTGAGATGGAATGAATTGTAGTTTTTGCGAAAATTTTGTTTCCTTTCACAACTTCAATAAGATAAATCTCGACTAACCAAACAAAAATGATTTTTTATATATCCAATCCATTTGCCACCTTGAGAACTCCATGTAACATGAACTCCCCTCGTTCTTATGTGAATGTAATTCACTAATTCTTTCCTTTCTCGAGCTCTATCTTTTTAAATTTCCCTTGTATGAACTTGACAATGCATCATTTTTCCTCTGCAAACATAAGCTGGAATGAAATCCCAGCACCAACCTCGAAAATCCTCTGGGCTGGCCGATCAGCCATTGGGAAGAGGAGGGGGTGGGCCTCCGAAACCTCAAGCACCGCCTAAACGACCTCCCACAAACCCGGGCCCCACACCTGACTCGATGGTTAAAGCTGCTGCGGTCGCCGCCGGGGCCCGCATAGCGTCTGCATCCGATGCCTCCTCCCTACTTGAGGCGGCTCGCTCTCAGAATGTCGTCCATATCACGACTGGAGGCGGGTCCATGATGAGATCGGGCCCGGCAGGCCTCAGCAGCCAACTGCCGAGCAACGTGCATTTTATCCGCAATGGCCTGGTGAAGGCGCCAATCTCTACGTATTCACCTGCTAAGCCTAGTGTTCCGCGTTCAGTCGAACCTCAACACCCGCAAGGAGGTCATGTTGTAAAAGCAGTGGCTCAGCCGAGCTTGGAAGGTAGTACAGCGAAAGAGGCTGCTCAAAGGAATCAAGCTAGTGATCGGGCTGATGCATCAGGGTCTGTTCGCGTAGAACGGGCAGTACCTGATAGTCAGTCGGCTGGGTCGGTCAATCGTGAAGTTGAAAAGCAAGTTCAATCTGCCAGTAATCAAGCTAAAGATGTTGGGGTGGCTGTACTGACCTCGGGAAAAGAGGATAATGGTGAGTTGAAATGCTGTACAGAGGGATAAACATGGAAACTGCCCTTGAGGTTTGTCTGCTATGAAAAAATACAAAAAATAATGTGTAAGTTAGAAATTTGCGAAAAACTACCTAGGTTTTGTTATGTTTAACATTTTACCCTGACCATTAGTTGGCTTGATAAGATTTGCTTGTTGCCATTGTTTCGGAACCCTACAAGTAGGATCAAGTTTGCCTTGGATATCTGTTATGTTTAGATAAAATTGAGGATGTAAGTGTGAATGTGAGATGGAAAGTTCAGATTGTTTGAAATATGTAGAAATGTTTATGGATGTTAATTTGCAAATATTTTATGATGTTACCGAAGCTTTCGTTGCCCTTAATTCTGCTAATGACATCTACAACATATAAGACATACGTAAGTCGCTGAAATTCCATTTTCTTCGCTGTTTGGGCCAACCCCTAAGGGTAACTTTTGTAGCTATCGGTAAGAGAAAATGGTGATGACAGTGATTGGTATTGCAGGTGAAAAGAATACTGAGAACAAATGTACAAGCTGAGGGACTGATGAGAATCATGGTACAAAAGGATGTGGGCCTGGCCTGAAGGTTTTACTTTAGCAAAAACATAGATGGGTATGAAAAAAGTGAAATAATGCTGAAGTTTGGCTGCTGGAGATGGGGAAGAATCAATTCCTGTGTATGAATATCATTTGTTTAACTTTAGTTTGGCATGCAGTGAGTTATTATTTGATCTGTATATAATTGTGGACGAAGCTTGTTATAGTTTCATGTCTGGATGTAGCGATAGCTTATTCGTTTCGTGGAGCTTCTTGAAATTCATTTACTTGCAGTTAGGATCGAGAAGCCAACATATGGGATGGGATACTGATGACAAAAAACCCAACTAATAGCAAAAGAACCAATGATATTGTTTTGTACAATACTGGCTTGTGAGGAGCCTCGGTCGGTTCCCTGCTGGATTTCTTCGGTCCAGTATATATGGTTGCTAATACGTAAGTTGGATTGTACACATACTTTTAGTTTTGTTTGTGGCGCCCATTCTGGATAAATATAGGTGTAGTGAATTGTAGAAGCTAAATATTTGTTAATAATATATTACTTGCTAAAATCATGATCTTTTCTGAAAGAAAAATCAATGTTTATTTTTTGGATTTGCATCTGGCTAGCCAATCTAGCTTTGGATTGGTGTTTCTTTTTAGATCCGAGGGCTTTGAATCTACGGTTTTTTGGATGTCGGAGAGGGAAATGATAGGGCTGAGATTGAGATTTTATAACCGAGAACGGGAAAATCGATTGAAACCAAGATGAAATTTGGCAGTTCAATTCAGTTATTATAATATAACAGCTTTCCCAATTCGATTATATTTATGTTATAATCAGTTTCGATTCGCGATTAAGCATCCAAAACAAGTGAAAGAACCGAAGGGCCGGGTCCACACATACATAACATGTTTATACTATATTGCAAATATATTTTTTTCAGATAATATATAATATAATAACAAAAATAAGGTGATAAATGTGAATTAACACCAAACCACCCCCAAGTCCTCAACCCGCAAGTCCCCGATTCTCATCACAAATCCACTTCCAATTTTCGTTTCATTCTCCATTAAAATCCCTATGCGGCCGTCGCCACCATCGGCAGTCACCCTTTACATTTTTTCGCCGAACCACCGCCAGCACCGGCGAACCTCACCTAGTCGGCATACATCTACAATCCACACACCAAACTTTAAGCCTTATACACACATATCGTAATCGTCATACCTCCTTGTCATGAGTACGAGGGGTGTTAAAAAGATCTGGTAGGTTTGTGATGGAAAAGAAGACATAGTTATAGTATATATCTTATATGGAAAAAAGAAATTGGGAAGGAAGAAGAAAAAAACGGGAGAACGAAGATGGAAGGGACGGGACGACAATTACTTGCCTTTAATGATGGGTGAAACTATGTCTAAGAGAATCCTTAAAATTGCATATTATAACAAGTTTATGCTCAACACATAAATGATCATCTACTACCAAATCCAACCTTCTCGATCGTCTACATGAAATCGAGGTCCTGAATAAAAGTGCGAGCCAGTAGTCTCGAGCCTAGCATTAAATATGGGAAGGATGCGTCGCCTACAATGCTTCTTGATGAAGTTTCTGTCGGTGAGTTTGGTGTCAGTGATCGACTTGACAGGTTCCATAAACCTCATGAATTGATATCAGTTGGTCGTAAAAATTCTCAAACAATAAAGATTCAGCTTTTTAGTCATATAAGAATGAGTAAACCCATCTCCACACCTCTCATAAGTAAAAGAACACCTTTATAATTTACCATCAATATTAAACCTGACCGCTCCTACCAATCCCCCAACTCAAACATATTATGTAAAAATATATTATATTAACGACCGGAAAACAGGTTCGATCAACAGATCATAAAAAAATAACACGAAAACAATCTTCAATATATAACAAACATGAAAAACGAAGAAAAAACTAATCAAAATAAGTTGCATTAGTATATCTCGACTACGCAAGTTTAGACTTTGTAATATTCACAACATAAATAGATCCTAGGATTGATTATATATATTCCAAAGGACTAGGCTTATGTGCAACGTTTCGTCAAAATAAACAAAATACTGCCTGAAAAATGAAATAAACACACGTAAATATGAAAAGTATAGTAAATCGAGAAACAACGAGAGATGCTATAGTCCCATTACGGAATCATTCCGTTGGGGTTTGTAACCGTTAGATCAACTATCTCTAATGGTTACATAATGATCTAACGGTTACAAACCCCGACAGAATGATTTCGTAACGGGACCGTAACATTTTCGAAAAACAAAATTCTAAGAAATTAATTATGCATTTTCCAGCAAATTCGAAAACTGGTATAAATCACATTTTCCATACAAAAGAAAAAAAAATATATTTTTTTTTTATCTCTTGAACTCAAAATAATAAAAAAATAGATTAACTAACACTAAACTAAAGATAAGTATGTTGCCAGCTCATGCGTATTAGAGTCACTCTCCAATCGATTCAGTTTCAGATCTCACACATCCTCCGTGAGGGGAACCGTTCTGCTGACTTCTTCGCAGGCATCGGGTCATTCACCCCCCAGAGATGCATACTTTACCCTGATAATATTCCTCTCCGCCTCTGTATCCTTGTACGGATGGACCAGATGTGATACCCTTCATTCAGATTTGCGTAGTCGGTCCTACCTTTGGTACATCCGATCCTGTGATGGTGACTTTTTGCCCAGACCTTTTCGGACCAGGAGAAATTATCCTTGCATTACTGGCAGTTGTTGCCAGCTTTTTCTTTTTTTCTTTTTCGTTTTTGGTTTTTTTTTTTGGTTGACATGATGTATTTCAGACACTGTACTTGTATATTGTGACTTTTCAGCCCATTTAAGACCTTTTTATATATATAAAAAAAACTTTCCATTAAAAAAAAAAGTATGTCCCATGTATTGTGAATAGGTTAAATGGCATTTTTTTAAAAAAAAAAATACTTTAAAAATAAAATACAAATACACACCGTTAAAATCTAAAAATGCAAGTTTTTCTCGAGCTGGTTTTCGACAAGGGGAACCAAGAAATGAGTTTCCCCGATATATCTCCCTTCATTGTTCATCGAGCAGAACGACGTTAGAATCGAAACGACGTTGAAGAGGACGAGATACCCATGTAGCTCCGCTGCGAAGTCTCTTTAGTATCTGAAACGTATACTTATTACGGAGTGCGCTTAATGGTGGTACGAACTGAATAATGCGGAAGCAATAAACCGAAGATTTTAAAACTCTTCAGGGAAGCGTCCCACTTCCCCTCAGAGCTCTTTCATTGATAGATCAAACATACACATAGCTTGGACTTACAACGACTCGAACTCCCTTCAAGCCTAGCCAACACTACACAGATCTTATCAACTAATTCTTCGGCCACGTCCCGTGGACTTTAATAACCTACACTTACTCCCTAAGTGTATAAGCTGTAAAGTAGTTTTTGGATGAAACACAAATAACTAAATAAAACAGCTTCAGCCCTTGAGTTAGTTCGAACTCTCAGACTGAACTGTGTACAACTCAACTTAAACAGAAAATACGAAGCTCAAATATTGCTCTAAAGGTCTTCAAAACTCAGCAGCCGCAATAAGAGCTTGCATACGGGTATTTAAAAAGAATCTCCTTAGGGTTGGAGTCTTCTACAAGGCATAGGACTCCAACCTTGATTTCCTTCCATAAAATTAGCATATTTAAGGTAAGTAGATCTCCTCTTCTCTCTCCATAATCTTCCCACACGCACGGCTCTCCTTTCCTTTATCACTAGCACTTCCAATTTTCTACAAAATAAAATACCATAATAAGATCCATGATATCTTATATATGGAATATAAAATAATCTTAATTAAGGAAACAATTAAGCAAAGATCTTCCCTGTTTCTGTAGTTCCATGTGCTTGTTCGAACCTTCGAACTAATGCCAAAATAAAATATCTTTCAATCTCCCCCTTTGGCATCTAGTTCGAAAATAATAGACACCAAGGTCTCCTGAAATGAAAACAACAAGCACCGAGAGACTAATCACATTAATAAGTTAGATCTCACAGAAATATTCTACGGGCAGTTCTCCCCCTTAGTACCTGCAATCAGTACACGGAAGTATAACAAAAATGGCATCAATTAAAGAGACCAAGATCACCAAAATGATCATCCATAAAAAACAAAGTACTAAACCATCATCAAAAGCAAATAGTAGCAACCTAATCATAGCATCAAAAGCAAATAAGTACGAGGTTCTTTATTACATAAAGACCTCCCTACATCCCTCAGAACACACAAAAGAAGAAGCACTACTCCTCATCATCATAGTAATTCGCAATGGCATCATTGGTGCTATCTCCCTCAGAGTCAGATCCTTCATCATCCTTCACAGCAGCTTTTCCCTTCACCCCCTTTTTCGAACTACGGGATGCCGAAGGGCCTGTCCCCGCAGTCTTTCGATTGGTCCACTTAACCGCCTGCAGCACTTGCTTGAGATAGGCCTGCTGAGCAGCAACCCGTTTAGCTATCGCGTCCCATTCACCAAGCTGTTGAGCCACAAATTCTCCCCAGTTTTTAGGAACCAAGGACGGAGCCAGTTCCCGTGTTACCTTGGAGGTCCCCTTTTCATTGAGAGTACGAGCACTCACGGTGAATGCTTTGCCTGGGTTCTCAAGAGAATCTTGATAGCGAGGATTAACAGCAAAGTTGTGGGCACTCAAGAAAGACCAAATAAGACAGGGAAACGGGAGGGTCTTGCGAGATTCAATATTTGTAACAAAGGTATGAAGGATATCAAAGAACATATGCCCAAAACTGAAAATCTGCCCAATCATAACGCAATAGGTCACCTTACTCTGGGACTTAGTGAGAAGAGTTTTATTGGAAGTTGGAGTCCAATTC